TAAATTAACTGTTCCCTCCTGGTGGAATGACCTGCCCAACTCAGTAAGAGCAGCTGAGTCCTTAAGCATCTTTAAGAATCAGCTAAAAACACATCTCTTCCATCTTTATTTGACCCTCTAACTCTAGCAATCTCTATTCTAATTCTATTCTTTTAAAAAAAATTGCCCCTTTTAGACTTGCACTCTATTCATTTACTAACTGCTTGTTTTCTTAAAAAAAAAAAATTTTTCTTAGAGGACTTTTAAATTAACTGTTCCCTCCTGGTGGAATGACCTGCCCAGCTCAGTCAGAGCAGCTGAGTCCTTAAGCATCTTCAAGAATCAGCTAAAAACACATCTCTTCCATCTTTATTTGACCCTCTAACTCTAGCAATCTCTATTCTAATTCTATTCTAAAAAACAACAACAAAAAAACACTTGTCCGTTTTAGACTTGCACTATTCATTTGCTGCTTGCTTTCTAATCTTTTTGTATTCTATCTGTTTTCTTTTAATTTATTATACAATTAACAAAAGCAAAAAAGACCTCTAACACTAGCTTGCTCTATTCTTTTTCTATTCTATCTGTTTTCTTTTTATTTATATCATTTAAAAAAAAAACTTGCTACGTGTACTGCGTTAGGCTAACTGAGACTTGTCATTTGCACTTATATATTGTTGCTCTTTTGTTGATTTTGATTGCTTCCATTGTCCTCATTTGTAAGTTGCTTTGGATAAAAGCGTCTGCTAAATGACTAAATGTAATGTAATAATAAATCGCTGTCACAAATAACGATAGCCTAGTGAAATCGTGATATAGGCAACACAAATTTATTGAATTTGTTATGAATGTTTGCGTACATTACAGGCTGTTATATACATACTTTTCAGTTTTAACATCACAGAAAATCTTTACTCTTTTCTTGTTACAATAGCTTTTATATCCCTAAAAATCTGAGTAAAATTCCAATATTACATTATAGCGTGCATGCACTTTTATTGACTTAATGTGCTTGCATATAATGTATATAATGTGGGAATTGTTGATGCAATTATGCCGCATCTTTTTTATTATAATTATTTTTATTTCAGTGCATGCCAAGAAAACGTGTCATATCCGCATACATTCAACACAAACTGTATAAAAACATTTAATAAAAATAATTAAATGCCGGACATAGGCCTATCATATTAAGTAATAATATTTTTTTTTTCCCGGAAATATTCATACATTGAAAATAAACAGAAATGACTGTTTGGAAATGGGTAAAATTGTGTAGTAATTTACTCCACTTTGACTGACGAATGTTTATGACATCATAGGGCAAGTTAGGGAAGAAATGTTAATGTCCACGTAGTGACTCCTGCTCTCTCTATAGGCTACTTCCACCACAAAATTATGATTTGCTATTATTGAACTATTTCACGTTTCTGTCATTCTGCAGTAATTGTTTTGTGTACTGATTGTTATGCATGAGTTATGAAATCACAAAAGAAAAAATACCTAATTCTTATTTTCAATTTAACATGGTTAAAATAACTTTTTTTTAATCTCTCACACACACACACACACACACACACACACACACACACACACACACACACACACACACACACACACACGGTATTAGAATGTGTATCTGGTCAAAAGAAACCAACATGATATCTAAATAAATACAACTACTTAATCAGACAACAATGACTTAATCACATTTCTAATATTGACTTTCACTGCAAGACTGAAGAGTTGCATCATGCTCTGGGAAAAGGGGTAATGCATAGGAAGGTCCTGTGGGTATTGTAGTTTTGGTGGCTGATCCGTATCGAGACACTGACACATGCATTTAAAATATGAGCAACAGCTGAACTAGAAACAACAATGCATTTATGACTGAGATTTCATTTTAAAATGACTAAATTCAGATAAGGTTACACAACACCACCGAGGTGGCTTTTCAGAAATATACATTTAATGTATGAACTTCAATTTAATTTGAAAACTACCTACGAATTCAAACCACCCAGCGATTTCAGATGATGGCGAGACTTCATGACAACGACATCGTCTAACATAAAACATATTTCATCCACTTGATCTTCTTAATTAAAAAAAAATGAGATTGCAATTTCATCGGGAAACCATGTGGACAGCATGGGGTCAGGGGATCTCGCGCACAGCATTCCATTGGAGATCCTTCAGGGATTATAAGGATCTTCGCCCGCTTCATAACAACCTAGAGATCCTAAAATGACAAAACCAGGACGCACTCACTCACACAAACACACTCACACATCTTTAGAAACTATTACATAACATTTGATGTGCTCAGCCTTTTTTCAGGATCCCCGGTTCCCTCCGGTCGTGTTTACGGCGCACAACCCATCACATGACTGACTGCAATTCCCATCAATCCTCTTGACGCATGCGCACGCCGCGTTGTCTGGCAGTGGTAAACAGACGTCAGAAGGGAGTCTTCGCCTCGAGTCAAAACAAAACAAGAAAGATCTACGAGGAATAGCTGTTTGTCTATCTCCGGTAACAACAGAAGGGAAGCGATTTCGCGTTAATTTCAACAGACGACCAAGTTATTGAAGCGAAGCGGGTTTCTTCGACTTTTACCGGAGGGATATTAACTCATAAAAACTGGAGTTGGTTAACTAGGTGGCTCTCTCAGTAGTAAAACTACGCTTGCGAGTTTTGTCCCAGAGGCCGAGTGGCCGGCGACTGAATGAAAGAAGTGGGCCGGCGACAGGTTTTTGTCTTTTCGAGGAATACGTCGACCGTAGTGGGATTCGGGAAGGCTTCAACGGGACGGACACGCTCGGTTTAGATGAGCCCGCGCGAGCATCGTGTGTAGCTGCGTCTCGAGGAACATGGCAGACGGTGACACGCGCCAGCACGCAGCGCGGAGGACCGCGCAAACCTGAACGGCAATAACACAGGTTTTTATTGTATGGTAAAAACCGTAAAACTACCCGTTATGATCGAGCACTCCTGTAAGACATTATCTTGGTCTTTTTTTAAAATGTAATATTTTGATCGTTATGAATTAAATCTTACGTACGGCTTCTTTTGGCGATTTAACAATCTTGCTTAACGCATTTGAGTTGAGACGCACAACCTTACGTTTCTATGTTTTTAACTTCCCGATTAATAAAATAATTGTTGACTTTGACAGGCAGCTGTAACAAGTAATTCCCATTCACTTGAATTCGTTTACAAGGACAGTATTCTTACATAGCATAGAAATACACTCGAGTTTACAAGGAAGATTATTGTACGATTTGACGCTCTCATATTAAGGTGGTTTATCGCTTTTTGTAGAGTTTGTAAGTTGGTCTATATTTATTTATAGATTTACGTATTTTTCTTGTTCTGAAATCTAATTGCGAAAGCCAATCAACCATTCGCTGCTATAATAGGAACCAGCGGGAGGTGGTTATTTTAGCAATTACAGCGCATGTTATAATTGGTTTTGCGAGTTCACCTACTTAACTGCCTCAACGACCATTTTTTTATTTTATTTTATTTTATTCTGTAAAGGGGTGTTTAATTATCTAAGAAAAGTTCATAATCATCCCTTGTCACTCCAGCGCGTGTTTTCCTGTGGTTTATCTCAGTAGTTGCTCTTGACAATCCAGCTGTTTAGATGTGTAGTGAATTTCCTTTGTTCCTTCTACATTAAACAAAGATACCCCCTACTATCCTCGTTTGCTCTATGTAAATCAGAAGTTTTATGTTAGTTACTATTAAGGAGATTATTTGGCCCCTTTAATCTCCAATTTGAGGATTAATTGATGCTATATTGGTGTGTTCAGATTATTACATATGTGCTCCGTTACGCTTTAGACAGTCGCGGTTAAATTTAGTCCGGATAATTTATACTGTAGTGTTTCCAATATTAAGCAATAAAAAAACAAATAGTTCTTAAACAAGATTTTGAAATTATTTTCTTATAAATAGTCGTACTCTTACTTTTAATCGCCCAGTCTGTTGGTTTATTGAATTGTGTTTTTAAAAACGTCTGAAATCCAGCCTTCCTCTGAAATTATCTGGATTGTATCACACAATGGAGGAAGAAAACGTACCCCCCCCGATTGACCCAGATTTTGAGCCCCAGAGCAGACCGAGGTCATGTACATGGCCGCTGCCTAGACCCGACATCTCAGCTGTCAACGCTGGGGGGGGCGACGGCTCAGAGTCTGCTGCTGGAACTCCGCCCGCCGAGGAAGATAAACACGAGCCTCAGCCAATCATATCTGAGCCTGAGAAAGCCACGGTCTCTGAGGGCGGGGTTGTCGCTGGAGTGGGCGGGGCCACGCCTCGAAAAGGCTCTTCCAGGCGTAATGCCTGGGGTAATCAGTCCTACGCAGATCTAATCAGCCAGGCGATTGAAAACTCGCCAGATAAACGACTTACTCTGGCGCAGATCTACGATTGGATGGTAAAAACGGTGCCGTATTTTAAGGACAAAGGAGACAGTAATAGTTCTGCTGGGTGGAAGGTATGTCTAAAAAAAGTAAAGATTAAGAATTAATGATAATCAGGGTTTGAAATGAACTTCTCCACTCACCTGCCAATTTGGCTACAAAAAAATTTAATTACTGGCAGTTCAGAACAACTATCAAAACAAAAATATCAAAAAGTAATATAGAATTTGCCTACTAAAATGAAGTTACTGGCCATTCAAAACTTCTAATAACCAAAACAACATGATCAGAAATAAAACACATTGTCAAAATCAGAACTTGGGTTTGTTTATTGGATTGAAATAGTTTTTACTCCGTGAAGCCTCTCTTCCATTGACATCCTTGGAGGAGAAAAAGTGAACCCAATAATGATAATTCATGCCCCAAAATATGATTTCAAGACACCATAAATAGTGACACATGAAGGTCTTGGATATGCAGCAGTTAATCAAATGACTATGGCTAGGGAGTGAAACTGTTAATGCTGATACACAAAGTTTGATAGAATAAAAAAAAAACTGGCTAGTGAGTTCACAGCATTGCCTGCCATGGATGATTGGCGGGTGTTAATTTCAAATCCTGATAGTAATATTTTCAATCCTTTAAACCTTATTTTGCAGTAACATCTCTCTTTTAGACTTGATTAATTTTTTGTCATCCCATTTAGAACTCCATTCGCCACAATTTATCGCTCCACAGCAAGTTCATGCGAGTGCACAATGAGTCGACTGGAAAGAGCTCTTGGTGGATGCTCAACCCTGAGGGGGGCAAGACTGGCAAAGCCCCTCGCCGCCGCGCCGCCTCAATGGACAACAGCAGCAAATTGCTTAAAAGTCGTTTGCGAGCAAAGCAAACTAAAAAGCAGGCTGGAGCGGCAGGGATTGGAGGCTCTGGAGGTGCCCTGCAGGGTGAGGGTGCTTCTGGTGCTGGTGGTGCGGACAGTCCCGGGCCTCCAGTTCAGTTCGGAAAGTGGGGAGTGAACAGCAGCAGCCCTTCCTCTCGTGGCAGCCTGGATGACCCGGACATGTGGACGAGTTTCAGGCCACGTACAAGCTCCAATGCCAGCACGCTGAGCGGGAGGCTTTCTCCCATTGCCACGGGGCAGGAGGACGAGGATGACCTACCTGAGGATGGCCTTCTTGGTGGCTATTCCACAGGGAATCTTCCCCCAACACTAACTGAGACGCTAATGGAAGAACTGGATTTGATTGACGGGCTAACTTTAATGACTGGTCCGCAAGGTGGTGTGAGCCCAAGCACAGCTCCTCCTGCCCCACCTCAGCCTTTGCCCTCGGCATCCACCCTGCTGCCTCGAGGGTCCAGTTTTCCTTCATTTCGGCAGCTGCAGCCAGCAAAGACTACACAGGGATCCACTCCGCCTGGGCCACAGAGCTCGGTTCAGCACAGCGCCGGATCCAGCACAAGCCCATCGAGCTTCGGAAACTCCCTCTTCAGCCCCCTGCCCGGTCCTGGTCACAGTGGTTTCAGCACTCACGTGCCCTCCAGCCTCGAAGCTCTCCTGACCTCTGATTCGCCCCCACCCAGCGATGTTATGATGACCCAAATGGATCCTCTCATGCCAAGCCAAGGAGGTGGTGGGCTTTTGGGGCTCGGGAGATCTATGTCCAGCAGCCAAGCTAAGGCAGGTCAGATGTTGCTGAGCAAAGGCATTGACACAAGCACGGTGGGGCAGATGAGCCTCCGGCCTCAACCCCAACTCCAGCACTCACAGATGGGCTTTGGAATGATGCACTTGGCCATGAGCCAGGAACCACCTCAGCTCGCAACTGTAAAGACCCAGCATCAGGTGCCAGGCTCTGGGCTTCTGCAGCATGGACCTGTCCCGTCACCTGGTGGGAATGGAGGCCTGCAAGGTCTAGGCCAGTTTGCAACACCACCCTACTTCATGCCCTCCCAGGACCGTCTGCCTACAGACTTGGATATCGACATGTTCACTGAAAACCTGGACTGTGATGTGGAATATATTATCAACAGTGATCTTATGGATGGAGACCTGGTTGACTTCAACTTTGACCCCATCATACAGGGTGGACAGGGCTATACTGGGCCAGCAACCACACAGAGCTCCTCCCACAACTGGGTGCCCAGCTAACTCCATTATTAAAGATGAGAACAGGTATCTGAATTTGGGTTTGTTTGAAAAGGATAGTTCACCCAAAAACATGAAATTTACTCACCCTCATATTGTTCCAAACCCATCTTATGTTCTTCATGAGAACACAAAAGAAGACATTGTAAGATGATCTGCCAGTGAACATCAGTGGGATCCAATGTTGACTTTCATTGACTTTCATTTTAAGGGCAAAAATGGTTGAAACATTCTTCAAATGTGCTTGTGTTCTGCAGAAGAAAGTATGTCATACAGGTTTGAAACAACATGAGGATGAGTAAATGATTGTTTTTTTGTTTTAATGAACTATTTCTTTAATTTCAATTATGGTTTTGCATTATTCTTTATGTAAAGCTGTTCCTTTGTGTCCTAATGTGTTAATCTCCTTTTCTCGTTATTATTATTTTAATTTTTTTTACAGGATTGTCCCCCATTCTTAAAACAACTTTGAAAACAGATGTGGCATATTGCCTGAACATATTCTCACATTTTTGCCTCTGCATTTGCCATTGTACCTCAAATACATAAACTGCTTTGGCTAAGGACAACACGTGCTTGGCCTAGAAGTCTCATGTCAGAATTTTCAATTAAATGACAAAATCAAACCTCATACATGTCCCAAGTGCCAATGTCAACTAAAGAGTGTGCTGTTGGACACAGAGAACATGGTCTTGAAACATATTTTTTTTCGTCTTTTGTCTTATATGTGCAACATTTTAGTTTTGAAATTTGCCGGTTTTTTTTTGGCCAATCTTGGACTAAAGCACACCTAATAAAGAGCTAATTATGTTTATTACATTATTTGCCTATGATGCGTAGTGTAAGATGGAGATGGTACTCCTCCTTGATGTTCTTCCCCCTGATAATGGAACTCATTCGGCCAGGAGGATCAAACTCTGCAGCTTTTCTTGATGTGAACTTGTTTGTTGAATAGCCTTGAAGAAGTCCGAGCAGCTGAGATTGATGGAGTGACTTCCACAGCTGACCTGACGTTGTTGTTGCTCTCAGCCCCCCTCTGAGCATGAAAACAACAAGGCACCATAGGAATGTTAAGTTGAGAACAACATTGAGTGGCGACGGTTTCACTGACCACAGCTGAACTGTTAAGGTGTGCTCTCTCTCTCTCTCATCGGAATGAAGCATCAAAGTTTCAAGGTGGTTTGGTGACGCTGTGGTGTTCAATGTGCAATTAGTTTGGCTTTTATGACCTCTTCTCTCACGAAGGCGTTTTCTTGTGATGTGCTGAGGAGGCTGATAACTGAATGATGATTTAACTGTCTGCTCTTAAGTGTTTGTTAATGATAACAACAGTATGAAGAAATGTGATTTTCCACAGGGCATTTTAATGCATTTTTAATCCTGCCAACAAGTTAAATGGTATAGTGTTATTGTTGGAAACTTGGAGCCCTTTTGCAGAATACAATATCTGAAGATTTTGTGTGTGTGTGTGTGTGTGCACATTTGTGTGCGTTCAAATATGTTTAATGCTCCCGAAACTTGATTCCAACACACTAACAACAGAATTCAAGGTTACACTGAATCATTTCATTTAAGCGCAGAAGAAAGTTTGTTTTCCGAGTTATACGCGAGTTAGAAGCGAATCTTGAAGAAACATGGCTACAGTAATGAGATGTTATGGTTCCTCTGGCATGTTTAATTGTGTCCACAGACGCACAGAAGAAAAACTATTTTCTCATTGTTCAGTTTTTCATAAACAGCACTACTCATATTTTATAAAAAAAATGTTATTAAAGAACAAAAACAGTTGGATATATCGACTATAATTCTAATTTAGATTGGGGCGTTATCATTAACAGACTAATAAAAAAAACATGCTGTTAATGAGCTTTTTCTAATCTGAGCAGAAGCTATTTCAGATCATTTTTAACGGTCATTTTCTATGTAATCTTTATTTTTGTAAAAGATGAAATGCATATAGATTTTATACAATAACCAAAAGAACACTAAGAACTGCATGTTGGATGTATGCATTGCAGTGCAGATAAGCTTTACAAAACCTTTACAGTTCTTCAAAAGTTGAAATTTGCTATAATTGTTTGTGCTAAATAGAAAAAAAAAAATGATTTGCTTGGTTGCTTTTCTAAATGTCTAGGCAATTATTTCATCTCAAAATGCAAGACTGGTCCAACCGAAAATGATTAATGCAAGGTTTCAATCTCAGGGTTATGAAAAATAGTAATTAAAACAACTTCTGGAAGTAATGAGATAATCATGTTATGACTTCAATGCTCATGGCCTTTTCTAAATTGTGAAAGTCATTTATGCAAGCCAACGTCACATAGATATTTTAGCATTGCAGAAATATATCTAATCTTGCAGTTTATTATGAGAGATGTATCTAATGTATGCATTTGTAGCGTTCCTACAAAACTTTGTAAACTGCCAATGAACACTATAGCATGTCGCTCCAGAGAAAACCACACAGTTTTAAAGCCCTTTTCTTTTCAACTTGTACCTTTTCTGTAATAGAAGGGTTGACTTTTATTTAATTATTTGTTCAGATGGTTTTTATCCAGTTTAAAACCAGCATTCGGAAGTTGTTGTTTTTTTTTGGTGTATAAATTGGCTTTAATTTGAGAGCTTGACATTAGTAACTGGTCTGAGTGCATTAGATTAATTGTTAAAGCGTTCTCTCCTTACAGAGGAATAATTTTATCCTATTCATCGGTGCTAGATATTAAATATGACAGTTAAAGTGGGCCATATTTGATTGGTGCATATGTAGATATCAGGGCCTTTAATAATTTTATGCAACACATTTTGAGTACAATTTCTTAATGTAGAACATAGTATGAGAAATGTACCTATGTTTTAATTCCCAAACTCTCAGTTTTTGTATATTATAAAAGAAACTGTGAATGGGGAGGGAAGGGCTCACCACATAAAATGTAACGATGCTCCTCACAAATGGTGTAATGTTTGATACAGCGATTGATGATTTTCCATCATCCGTTTACATCGATGTGCTTGTCTTTTGGGGCGTCTTTTCTTATGTTTTTATCTTTGTACATGTAACGCAGCTCCTTGATGTCCAAGAGTGATTGTTATACCTGCATGGTACATCTTTCAGAAAGCTTCATGGCTGACAGTCACCTTTGATATTTTCTCATGTCATTTGAGTGTTGATTTGAAAGTGATTTTTCGTGGTTAACACCCTGGCTTTGTTTAATTTCTCAAAATGCAGATATTGAATATTTTCGTCCCATCAGACAGACGTAACAGGGCTGCTGCAGGAATTCTACACCTTCCCGCTTTCCAAATCACTCTCACTTTCCTTGTTTGATATTAGCCTGCTCTTCCTTTAGTATTCATTATTTTGGTTCTTTTCATTTTCCTAGAGAGTTTGCTAAGTATCCCAGTTGATAACACAGGACATTAGTTTATGGTCTGGGTTGGGTTTTTTCTCTCTCGTTTTGGGTTATGGTGGGATGTAAAACTGACAAGTTGTGCATAGCCAATATACTGTATATGTACTTGATTGCTTTTTTAATTTTGTCCCCCCCCCATATTTTGTTAGTCCGAGGTCATTGAAAGCAGTTCAGCATAATATAAATAAACCTAATCTGTTTAACGAAGACTGTTTTAAGTTTGTTTCATTGGTCCATTCATTTGACATAAGCAGAGGTGCAGGGTATTCATTAAATTGAGAGCAACTAATTAAGTAGTAGTAAACAAGATTCACACCATTATGTATTAAACATTTAGTATATAAATGTCAATATACTCAAGAGTAGCCATACATACTAAATGTGAAATTAAATCAAATTCAATTGAAATGTTCCAGGTTAAGATAAATTATCGACAACTGTATGGATAACTGTACTTTTAATAATCAAACTCCATGAGAATAGGGAAGCCACAGAACAGCTATAACATTTAACGACGAAGAGGAACGATATCTTCTCACTCGAACATTTAAAGCGGCAGACTATATAACTGCAGCGCACGCTTATAACAAACCGAACGTTACCGTTTTGGTGTGAACGGGCCTTTACGGTGTAAATGAACAGGGCCAATCCGTAGCGGTCAAAACACTCACTGTTGATGTAGCTACAAACAGAACGTTACCGTTTTGGTGTGAACGGGCCTTTACGGTGTAAATGAACGGCCAATCCGTAGCGGTCAAAACACTCACTGTTGATGTAGCTACTAGACCAGAGGTGTCAAACTCAATTCCTGGAGGGCCGGAGCCCTGCAGAGTTTAGATTGAACCCTAATTAAACACACCTGATCGTACTTATCGAGTCCTTTAGGCTTATTTGAAAACTACATGGTATGTGTGTTGGAGCAGGGTTGGAACAAAACTCTGCAGGGCTCCGGCCCTCCAGGAATTGAGTTTAACACTCCTGTACTAGACGTAAACAATGCGCATGTTAACATGACATTAGAGGGACAAAAGTACTAACCCCTGCAGAGTTTAGATTGAACCCTAATTAAACACACCTGATCGTACTTATCGAGTCCTTTAGGCTTATTTGAAAACTACATGGTATGTGTGTTGGAGCAGGGTTGGAACAAAACTCTGCAGGGCTCCGGCCCTCCAGGAATTGAGTTTGACACTCCTGTACTAGACGTAAACAATGCACATGTTAACATGACATTAGAGGGACAAAAGTACTAACCTTTTCTGTGTGAGATTTTATCCAAATGTACAACTTTGTTCACAGGTCAACGTAACCTCATACACCACGGTTCTTCAAAACTGTCATTGACTGGAGGTCTGTTGTCCCGCGGCGTGTAGATCCTAACTTGATCAAACTCGCCTGCCTGTAATTTTCTAGTAATCCCGAAGACCTTGTTCAGGTGAGTTTGATAAAGGTTAGATCTCAACAACAGACCTCCAGGGGGCATATTGGAAGAACTATCCAAATAAACTCCAATTTTAACAACACACACAGACTTTTACCAGAAGAGTTCATGTAATTGCTTTTATAAAATCACAAGCTTCACATTTCTGCTTTTAAACATACTCCAAAACGCTTGTATTAATGCTGGCATATTTTAATGTAACGTCTGTATTCCTGGTGTGATTTTCTCAAAGAAATGTGAATGGAGATTTAGCACTAGATGGCAGGATTGCACTGTTTCAGACGCCATTATTAAAAATGGATTCCCAACTGATCGAGTGCTCAGTCTGATACTCTGAAAATATAAACCATTTGAGTTATTTGCATCCATAAAATTAATTGACTAAATCTATACTATAAAAACATTTATTTTCAGACTTAATGACTAAATAAAAACAAGACACATCAATGATGTTGCATATCTTTATAGAAAAAATAAGCTTTCACATTTTCAAAACTTTTTTTGCTTATTTTTAAATGTTTTTATTTTTTATTTTGGTTAGTTTAAATTTGTATAGTTCCTACATTTACGTGGTAAATAAACATTTTTGGCAATAGCCATGCTCGTTCAGTCTCCAGCGATGAATCACAGTCCTCTTCCAGCCGAGGTGGTGGAGACAGTCTGGAAGTGTCCACGTTTCAGGGATGTGGCAGACCGCCATTCAAGAACAAGCATTTAAGACAGCCCCGTGCTGCAGTCATATTCTGCTCCTGACAAATGCCTCTGGATGTCCATTACCGTCGGCCGGCCCGGATGATGAACATCTTCTATTCTCAGCTTGAATTAAAGCAGTAGCACGAGGCTTAGCTCTGAGACTTCAGTCCAGTTTAGCCATACTGATGAAGCAGGACTGACTCATCAGTAGTCAAAAGGCACCGTGCGCCCAGCACAGACTGCGGCTCCTGTACACATTTCTGCTGATTTACATACCTTGGTTTCTTAATCTAAACAGTTCAGACAAGAGCAAAATTGACACCAACAACATCACCCTCCCTCAAAATGACAAGATGCTAAAATAGCAACAGAAGTAATGCAATGTTGAAAAATAAACACACAAAACCAACCATAGGTGTCGCCCAAGTCATTCTGCCAGCTGTAATTAGGTAACCAGACGGATGAGAGTTTAACACAGTACAGGTATTTGGCCTTGTCAACAAAACTGGACATTGAATATATTCATAGCATCAGAGGGGCCATCGCCTCTCTAAGCGGTTTGTAACAATGACAGCTGCCAGCTGCAACCACACTTGTAGGGTTTTGTGCAAAAGGTTCAGTGCAAAAAAAAAAAAAAAGATAATTTTGTGCAGGTCAGTTATGGGATGGATAGTGACAGGCTTATAGTTCTGTCAGAAGTCCTTCATTTGATCTATACCAGCGTGTCAACATTAAAATCACATTTTAAGCTTATTCTGAGCTCCTTCTCACATCACAAGGTGAATTGAAATTTTTACATGGTAAAATATTTTAAAACAAGTCCTAATTGTTGTTGATCCAAATGTCTTCACCGGAGACGCCAGCACAACATTAACCTAAACTATCAAATGCATGCGGCCTATCAAAATTAAAGACCTGCTTTTAAATGGTATTTGAACAGTTTTCCAAGTTAGAATATGATATAATGGAGTTGAAATACATACTGTGGTAATTTGGCCAGTTCGTGTAGAGCAGGTAAAACCGACTGTCCACCCCTAAGTAACTGAGAAACACTGAGAACATGACCACAAAGAAAAGTAGTTTAGAAAAAGCGATTCCATTTCACTGCTTTGAACCCGTCAAATTTAGATCTTCACATTGTAAAGCGGTCTGCTGAGATGAATCGGATGATAATTATGGCTCCTATAAATGTACCCATTTTAATCACTTACAGCACCCATGCAGAGAGAAGAGTGAGTGGAAGATTTTGGAAAACAACATCAATGCTAATCGATCGAAATGAGTGAAAACAGTACTTCGATGACCAGCTGTGTGCTGAAAGAAGCCACAGCTGAAAGCTTATTGAGATATTCTATAGATAGACACTGTCTTAAAAGTGCTCATTTAAAAAGAAAGTTGCAGCCGTTGAACCTTCTCTTACTCTTTGTTGAATTTTGCTCTGGTCTCACAATTCCACATTTAAACGAAATATCTGGAAGCCATGTTAAGCAAAGTGCCTTTGTCCAATCACTCATTTTCTGTAAACAGTGACTCAAATTGGCCATGACCAGTTGGACACTTTCTCTCTCTCTCTTTGTCAGTCAATTGAATAACAACAGCAAAAAACAAAAAACACACAAATGGGAAAATATTAATAACAACGACAACAACAACTGAATAAAAATAATTGCACATTAACCATCCGGGATAAAGATACTAAAAAAAAAAAGGAAAGGTAGCAAAAGAAGAGTCCGCAGACAAAAGGACAACTACAGAAACAACATGAAGTAGGAGAAACACATGCAAAGGACAGTGAGAGCGACTGCTTTACACCTTTTTTCTTCTAAAGTTTCACCTTTGGCACAGAAATGTTTCACAGCAGTACCTTACATCACACCGGTAAACTCAGAGACAACAAATACAGAGACGGAGAGACAGATCTCTGCTTGTATTTCTTTGTACCATGTCCCTCTGTGGCGCTGAACGCTCGTGTCCTATGCGATCATGTATTGAGTGATGGCTCTGAGTGCGTACAGCAGCTCGGCCTGCAGACGTGCCTCCATCACTAACAAATTTACATGAACCTAAAAGACAAAAACGACAGAAAGATTTGTTTTAAAACACTTAAAGCCATTTTAAGTAGATGGTATATTTTATTATTCTTTTTTAACACCATGTCAGTAGCACTTTTATGGCAAGAACAAAATAACAACAGTCGTACAATTTTCAAAAATTAAATGGAACAGTTTAATAAATACAACAACAACAAAAGTTCAAAAGCACGTGTTTGTTGTTGAGTATCATATTTAATACATCAGGCTTTTCTAGCTCATTTAGTATGATAGGATAATATGGAGCTCACACTCTAGGAGGAAAAAACACCTCAGATCTCCCAATAATAATTCATAGCAAGATTTATGATCAAAGCTCTGTAGTTTTTATTGTGGGGGGCAAAACATATTATGCAGTGCAATACATTGATGACTGAGAGACGAACAAATAAATATTTCTCCAAAAAAAAAACTAATAAGTATTTTAACATGATTTTTCTAAAAATGATGTACAGATAATCAAGTTGCTTCAATCCAGTAAGTGTTGAAATTATACTAACAATAAGATTTCACAGCAAAAAGACAAGAACCACAACCTGAAGAGGGATGTTTTTAGAATTATAATAAAATACTTTTTACTTGCTAAAAAATATGAACTATCAATCTAAATATTGAGAAAATCGCCTTTAAATTTGTCCAAATGAAGTTCTTAGCAATTCATATTACTAATCAAAAATTAAGTTTTGATGTATTTACAGTAGGAAATTTACAAAATATCTTCATGGAACATGATCTTTACTTAATATCCTAATGATTTTTGGCATAAGATTTTTGATAATTTTGACCCATACAATGTTTTTTTGGCTATTGCTAAAACTATACCCAAGCGACTTAAGACTGGTTTTGTGGTCCAGGGTCACAAATATGATACATTAGGCTTTATAGGGTTAAGTAGATGTTACTGAAGTGTACACAGCACAAGTTTTGATAGGAAATCACCTTGTCTGAAGCTTTGACAGGGGCCCAGGACAGTGGGCATAGAGGGGTCTTGCTGGAGTCAGGATAGCAGGCCACAGCTTTAATATAAAGTTTCAGTCCACGCTCCAGTAACCGGCTGACTTCCCCATAATCGTAGTCATCATATCTGAGGGCAAACATGTCAATGTAAGTGCTTTGTTTTTGTGCCTTTTTCAGCATTCTCAAAAGTAGGTGATGAGTCACAAGGTGTGATTATGGAGTTGAAAGCTTGCCATTATATTTAATTTCATGTTTCTTTTGTATTCAGAATGCAAACTAGCAAAATGCAAAATTGCGAAAAACCAGGGAACCAAGGTACCTGATGCCGTAGATACAATGAATGTAGTTCCAGATGGCTCGTTTGAGATCGGGGCTGTGAGGGAAAGGGAGGGAGGCCACATTGCGGAATCGCTCGTCTAACAAGTGCCCTATATCAGAGTAGAGCCTGTTCACCAACGAGAAGCCGTGATCCTCCCATGAATAGTCCTGCACAGAAAGACAAATAAATCAAGCATTCATAACATCAACTTTACTGCAGTATTTTAAAGTCTGTTAAATGTAAAGTGCATAATTTCGGCATCATTAGTGTCACCAAACAGATTTGCCTAAATAAATGACCCTTTCAAACAGGTTTCCCCAAATGTTTTTTGAGGGGAGAAAAAAAAAAACAACCTACAAACTTACTTACAGTTCTTTCCATATATAAACTACCATTCAAAAATTTGGGGTTATATATATATATATATATATATATATATATATATATATATTTGTTTTCACTATAGGAGTGGCATACTCCCATTCAAATCAAATGTAGAAAATGTAGTCAGGTTTTGAGAGTAACGTTAAGTGTTGACAGTCTTGAGAAGGAAGGCCATGAGCTGTAATTCTGACCCTTAGTACCCTTTTATGCTACTTCTGTTAGGTGACACCCAATGCAAAGTCTCTGTCGGCTGACTTCCCCATAATCGTAGTCATCATATCTGAGGGCAAACATGTCAATGTAAGTGCTTTGTTTTTGTGCCTTTTTCAGCATTCTCAAAAGTAGGTGATGAGTCACAAGGTGTGATTATGGAGTTGAAAGCTTGCCATTATATTTAATTTCATGTTTCTTTTGTATTCAGAATGCAAACTAGCAAAATGCAAAATTGCGAAAAACCAGGGAACCAAGGTACCTGATGCCGTAGATACAATGAATGTAGTTCCAGATGGCTCGTTTGAGATCGGGGCTGTGAGGGAAAGGGAGGGAGGCCACATTGCGGAATCGCTCGTCTAACAAGTGCCCTATATCAGAGTAGAGCCTGTTCACCAACGAGAAGCCGTGATCCTCCCATGAATAGTCCTGCACAGAAAGACAAATAAATCAAGCATTCATAACATCAACTTTACTGCAGTATTTTAAAGTCTGTTAAATGTAAAGTGCATAATTTCGGCATCATTAGTGTCACCAAACAGATTTGCCTAAATAAATGACCCTTTCAAACAGGTTTCCCCAAATGTTTTTTGAGGGGAGAAAAAAAAAAACAACCTACAAACTTACTTACAGTTCTTTCCATATATAAACTACCATTCAAAAATTTGGGGTCAGTATGATTTTAATGTTTTTGAAAAAAGTATTTTATGCTCACCAAGGATGCATTTATTTGATAACAAAATACAGTAATATTGTGAAATAATATTATAATTGAAAATAGCTTATCTATTTTAATATATTTAATATATCTATAAAATAGAATTTATTCCTATGACAAAGCTGATTTTTCAGCAGTCATTATCAGACTTCAGTGTCACATGATCCTTCTGAAACTATTGTAATATTCTGATTTGCTGCTCAAGAAACATTTATTATCATGAATATTATCATCAAGTTTTTAAGTTTTTTATTAATTGAAAATAACAGCATTTATTTAAAATATTTTTTGTTACACTATAAATATATGTACTCTTACTTTTGATCAATATAATGCATTCTTCCTGGATAAAAGTATTAATTTATCTCATTCTGACCCCAAAATTCTAAATATAACTTGGGATAAAACAAACTATTTTAACATTAAAATTTAAATACATACACACACACACACACAC